TAATTATCGGCGCACGTGAACAACCACAACACCAAGAGAATCCCAAGTACGTTGCCAGATTTTAAAAAATAAGTAAATTTTATTGAAAGTCTCTAAGTCGTATTGGTCGGGAAATATCGTAGATTCCATAAAGAAGTTATGCTAGGAAAAAAACTTTTAGTAAATCACACAGAGGTGGATCGGTGAGCATTGAAAATTAATTCGAAGAATTTCTCTGAGCACTCCCCGCGGTAAATAAGATAGCGATCAGAAAGAAATATCACGTCTACGATTCAGGTCGCTCTTTACTGGGTGCAGTCAATTAGAAGAATCTGATATTGTGGTGCTCCTACCCAGATATGAGAAGAGTATTCCACATGAGGCTGAGTTTACGCCTTGTAAAGTTACCAAGCGGTGTGCCGACATGAAATATTGTTGCTCTGTACTGAGCACGGCAAGATTTTTAGAGGCCAATTTTGCCTTTCCCTTCTAGTGATCGCAAATCAAAATGTCACCCGATATATCCAATGCTGACTGAGGCAACAAGGTGAGTGCCCTAACATTTGGTTCTTGGTAGCGGTAGACGCTCAAACCTGTAACTTCTGAGGGTTTGAACAAGCACCTGACCACGTATTCACGAGAAATATTGACACGGTTGGTGTAAAATGCATCACCTGTACCATCATCAGCATAGAAATCAATGTTACTGTCTTGCAAAATATTATTGATATCTATACAGAAAAAACAGTGCAGACTAGCGAAATCTCAACATTTATAAGCTTATTGTTGGTGAAACGAAAAAGAAAGACTGAACACAGTGAAATACCGCCAACTTTTCTTACTTTTCACTTTAAGCTGTTACTGAGAGTTTATTGACAGAAAAACAAAAACCGACTAGACCTCGGATTGCAATCCAGGATCACATGACCAGCAACTAAGTTCAAAAGAAAAAATATTAATCTCGTGTGAACAATATAAAAACCGATTTTTGAAGGCGTGTTCGCCAAAGCCGAGAGAATTGCCGTTTCCGTTGCATGTAATCGATAATAATAATAATTATCATTCGTTGCACGTTACCCGACGACAAAAGCAGGCAAGTGCGTTACGAATACAAACTTCAATCAGTTGAACGGAAGATCGGAAAATACGTTCCGTTTCGGGTATATTAAAAACGTTATTCTTTGGTGTGTCATAGTAGTTTAGGTCCAATTTAGCATATTTTTAGTTGACTTCAAAAAAGGAAGAGGATCTCAATTCCATGTATTTTCTTTTTTTTTATTGTATGTTACTCGATAAATTTGTCAAGTGAGGATCAATTCTGATAATTTTTTATGGAACGGTTCCATATAAATTTGGAAAAAAATTTTTGATTATTTAGACTTTCGAGCTTTTGATATTCCTTTGTCCGCTCAAAAGGGTAAATAAAAATAGTTTTATAATAAAAAGTAAAAGCCGACTTCAAAGAAATAAAAATAATAATATTATTTCCGCATAATAGCTTCAGAAGTCGGGAATTATTATCTGAATCTATAAATGTATGGTATTATAGAATGTAACAAATATGTATGGAATTTTCAAAAATAAGCATAGGCCGGATAATGTTATAAATAAAAGATATGTGTACGTAATTTATCATTTTATAATTGTAATAAATGAATCGTTACTTATATTTATTTATTAAATTGGATCATAGTGGGTTTCTGTTTATGTCTTATCAAAATATTCGACAGTGATAAGAAACTAAAATTAATTTACTGTTCCCAGCCAGCATAACTTAGTGATTTCCTTACTTATGTATTACTAATTATTGAACTCTTGAGTTTTTTTTTATATAGTATGAGTGACAAACAAGCACACAGTCCATCTGATTGTAAGTAAATGTTGTGGCCCATAGATTTATCCATTTATCTTATATTAAGTATCAAAATGCAGTTAATACGTTGTCTATCCTGAGGAATAAGATGTAATGTCTCATTTATAGTAAAAAAGGTATCCGGTTCTCTACATTCACCATAAGAAACGCAGCAGCCTTGAACTGCTATTTTACGCTGGTATTCTGTAAGAGCGTGGTCTTTCCCTGGTCGAGCAGACCTATTCGTCCTACAACTATAATATAGCTGTAGTATGGCTCTATCACGTAAAAAGTTCAGGATTCATTCTAACTAATGTCTATTATGTGCAACATTTGGTTGTGACTTTTCATATTATTATTTATATTACTATATTAGTATTTCGGTCCCAATTTTATCGCACTAATTTTAACTACAAATGTTGCTGCAGTGAGTGGGACAGAACGTGAGAATTCAGCGTCGTCCATAGTGTCGTCCAAAGCCTAACACGTTTTAATACTGCATGAAGTGAGTCAATAGACCTTAGCATTACATCTTATACACTAAGATAGATGTAATATATTTATTCACACACCATTCACTTACTATCGGGTAGACGGTAAGTAAATTTGGCATCCAAAATAATTGAATAATTTGGATAAATAAAATCATAGATAACCTCCTCATATTGAATGAATATTAAAATGACATTTTTAATTAACTTCGACTACATTGTTGATGTTCTCATTTTATTTATATTGAAGTTGATTGTACAATTTTTTTTTAATTTTGCCACTTGTTCTTACAAAATTTTATTAAATATGGCAATGAATAAAAAAGTTTTGAAAGACGTAGAGTAGTATTTTACAAATAATATAATGTATTAAGCTGTAGAAATTCAAGTATGGAATAAAACTGATTTTACGGATTTTACTAAAATTAATTATTATTAAAAATTATAATTATAAATATTTGAAATTTAACGCGAATAAATCCGTAACATTCCTTTTATATAGCGTGCAATATTAGAATGAATGATGTAAAGAAATTATAACAATTCCTTACGTATTAAGTTTCTAAAGTTTCAATATCGTTAATTAGTATAATCGGAAACGCCATTTTAAGCTTATTTATATTAGTAAAAAAATCATCAATGTCTACGTTTATCAATGAAGAAGAGGACGAAGAACGTGTAACGTGTAAGAAAAACAACTACTATAACAGCAGACACTGGCATAGAACAAAGATAAATTTAAAATTACAGTTTAACTCCCCTGATTGACCGACTTCTTCCTCTGCAGCTTCTAGCAAATTAAACCCCCAATTAAAAACTAACCACCATGGATATTACGAAATAATCTTTAAAATAGATCACTCTTTAAATTATGGATTAAACTATTTAAAAATTTATATTAGAGCCTAACAAAAGAAATCTCTTACCCGCGGCAAAATTTGACATTTACTGTAAAATATCATACTTTATATTTTAGTTCGCATTTTTCTGCGGAACTATTCTCGAGAGTTTAGTTTAAGGCTGAGATAAATTATAAACTGCTTATTGTAATAAGGTCGAACGGCGTAGATCAAAAGAACATCATAAGTTTCAGCTTATCTTGGAGAAATTAAACACATTTATATTAAATAAAACTAATTTTACGGATTTTATCGCATAGTTTTATTTAAATGTGTAGTGTTCGCGTAAATATAAGAAATCATTACATTCATATTAGGTAATATCCCGAAGAGGGATATTGTAACGGTGACACGGTGTTCTTATAATAGATAATATTTAAAAAAATTAAATATTGATCAATAAACAATTTTATTATAATAAAATCTATAATTAAAACAATTCTTGATCGTAATATAAGCAAAGCTTATCTCACTTCAGCAGAAATAAGAGGTTTTACTTTAAACAAGGAACAGACGTCTCCTGTTTTACAGATAGTATTTACAGACCTTCGAATTCTTTATCACCTTATTAAATAAATGTATTAGTATGTGCCAATCATTAAACGAATCATTTCGTTTCCAGATCATACTAAAACACTATGACAGGCGCCGTGTTTATACATATGTATATAGCAAGAAAGTAGAGCGCTATACTATTATAGAATGCTGTACATTTACAAACACACTTTATAAATAAAACAATTGAGAAGTGAATCCTTAAAGATGAGTCATGTCGAGAAGCATACGTGCAAAATGTATATGCATGCGCAAAGCACAAAGACTTCTTATATTTAGCAGAATAATATTAGAGCTTTTCATTGTTTGTTGAATGTTTCTAGTATATTATTTTCCTGATTGATTTAAAATTATGTAGATTATCCACTTAGATTCCGAATAGCATATTTTGTTGCGTATAGTCAGCTGATATTGGAAATCACAACAAAAAAACGAGTGTGCTTGCTCCAAAATCTTACGTATTGATGTATCACCTATATAATTTTTCAATCTGTGATTCTATTCAAATAAATAAAAAGTGTGCTTTCAAAAAAATTTAAAGGTACCACTAGTAAAAACACTTGCTAACACTTGCTACTAACGAGCGCTTCCTTTGTTTTTTATATCTCCCACGACAGTCGGTGATAATAGAGGTCATAGCCCCAAGATTAATAAAGAAAAAACATAAACCCGATTCGCACATTCTGCGTCAGTGGAATTAAAGCAATAAATAACATCAAATTCATTTACTGAAATGAGACTGCTTATAGTTTATTTAATGTTCGATGTCAAATTTAAAATTAAAAGAAAATTATTGTAATTTGGTGTTATGCGAAAATTTTTATTTAACTTTATTCGTATTTAGTTCTTTCTTATTATTGCACTTAGGCTATGCTGTATATTATATTTTTCTGCTGTTTTTTTGTGTTTGTTTTATGAATAGTAGTTTTTAAGAAAAATATATAGATTGGTATAAACCTGGAGGCGAGTCTATGAATTAGAAAGCTGAAACTTAAAGCTTAAGCAATTGTACATTTCGAAACCTTAAGGGACCTTTTTAGGGTAACATGTATAATGTTGTACCTACTGTTTGCATTACAACCATTGATGCAATTCATCGATTGGCGTGATATTTAATATTACCCTAAAAGTCGTCCATGCAGGTTGCAACGTGTAGCGCGTATAGAGCACAGAAACAAAGGAGGTTGAATTCGCACAGCGGGTAGGTTTTGCAAATCGTCTGACCTCGGTAGACGTCATCGTAGAGGGGCGCTATCGCGTCGGGCGCGCCCCAGCGGGACGCTTCGGGGTACACCATGGGGGCGCGCCGCGCTAGCACGACATCGCAACTTGTGGACTCACGGCTCACGGCTCGCGGCGCGTGCGTATGCGCCGGCGTCAGCGCACTGACTGGAGTCTGAGGTTCCGCAGCCGCTGCGACGACGACCGTCTCCGAGGAGTCCTCCCCTCTTCCTCGCACCGCATACGTCGCTGGCCCCCGTCGCTTCACTTTCGCACGGTCGCGAACTCGTCGCGACACTAGTTTAATTGCAACCCACCCGCTGCAGTCAGAACCGGATTTATTGTCTCCCGCCCGTCGATATCACCACTGCTGTCGCGGAGCTCGACCGTTCGTTCGTAATTTAGCATCAACAGTGACGCGAGCTTTTAGGTAGAACTTGTGCTAGTGTTCGAAGGAAATGGAACAGAAATTATCAGTTAGAGAATGTTTTTACTAAAGTCAGCCTCTTTGGCAATGCCGTAAAATTGAATAATTTTAGCTACACCAATCGTATTACTATAATTAAGGAAGCATTGAACCCAAAATTTAATAATAAATAAAATAAAATTGAAAATAATGGAAAAGCGCAATAACTACTATGATACTAAGCCGTATAAGCGGAAATATTTTAAAATTCAAGTAACTAGAATCCAATAGACATGCAGAACAAAATCATCGATATAAAAGACATCAACGCGATTTTTACTTTTAACATATATGTACATACATCACGTGTACACTGTTTTGTAAATATCGCAGTAATTAACTAAACCAATTGATGAACATTTTATAAATACCTTTTTATAATGTTTTTAGTAAAAAATATGCTTCTCCATTTCCGTTAAATTATATTGTTCTTTTAAACTGGAAGTGATTAACTTGCCCAAAGCTTTTCAATTTGTCGTGGAAGTTTGCGAGAAAAATAATTTTGAAGACATCCAATTGTACGCAAGCAATAATAGAGAGGTATAATTATTAGTTTTAATATTAGAAGCCTGTGTCAGATGTAAGATTTTACGGGCAGTTTCATATTTATAGAAACACTAAAAAAAAAAACTCTTGTTTAAATATTTTGATATATTGACTTATTCTTGTTACTGATTTTTTCAAAAAATATTGCTTATAGTTGCTAATAACCGGAAACAATAAATTAAATAAGCAAAAACACAAGCCGCTTGGTGACTTTATAAAACTTGCCTGTCTGTACCACTTACTAATTCTTGTTTTATACATAAGCATGGTTCGAAGCAATCTAGTTTAGTTGTGAACGGTTCGTTTGTTGCGATATCTATAAGACATCTGGGTATACTTATAAAATATTAAATCACAAATGAAGCGTTTTTAAATCCGTTAAATCCGGTCAGTCCGTTCAGTTACAGCCTATAAAGCTCGACTGCTAAACATAGGCCTCCCCCGAAGATTGACTCATATATGCCAAGTTGCCACGCTTGGCAGTAGGGTAGTATTTTATTATTTTGAGTCATCAAGAGGATGCTGCTGGTGATTTTTTAAAATAAATGAATATTATTTTTTATAAGTAAGTATTGATTTTTTTTCTTGAATTTTTGTACATTTTTTCGAGTTCGTCGAAATTTAAGCGATTAAGATAAATCAATATATGTATAATTATTTATTGTATAAGGTACGATGCTCTCATCGTCGCTATAATTTTTATTTCTAGTTAGTAGCTATATAATACGCGTTGTGACTTCTGAGGCAAAATTTCCGAGAACTCAGAAGAGACAACACAATTAATATACTGTGTGATTCTTTATCGAGGATATATGAAGGTGATATTGGGCAACACCATCCACTTATTTATGAGATAACGGCGACAAGCGAGCACACAGTCCACCTGATAGTTAGTGGTTGCTGTGGCCCATAGACATCTACATCTATCCTCGTTTGCGAATCAAAATGCAGATGCGTCGCCATCCGTGAGGACTAATATGGAATGCCTCTTTTCCAGTTCAAAGGATCTCCGGTTCTCGACACTCATCAGACGAAACACAACAGCATTAAGCTGCTGTTTTCCGCTGGTATTCTGTGAGAGCGAGGTCCTTCCCCGGTCGAGCCATCCCATTCGTGATAAAACTCTACATTTAATACAGCTGCTGTATGGCTCTGACACAACGTAAACTTACTATCAACTTGTCACCCTTCCTTATCTTGTTTGAAACACCAACGCCAAACGCTCTGGGAAGGTTGTTGTGTGATCATACCCTAGACCGCCCCCACCACTACATTAGGTTTGATAGACCACAAATTGTCGCGAAAGGACATCGATTCCTATTTCCTACCAAGGATAATACGTCAGGGTATTGAAGTTAGAAAAAATCCTTATTTCACTAGAGAAGGTGGCTGGGTACTACCACCTGCTTGAGATCCTATAATTAATAAAATTAAAACTAACCCCAAGTAAATAATATTTACAGAAAATCATAGCAAAAAAATAACTTATTCTACTTTTATCTAACTTATGTCGACGTATAAAAGTTAAAATTTAAGCGAAAATGTTTTGCTCGGAGATAAGTAGCACTGCGCTCATTAGAGAGTTAGATAAATCCTTCTGTGACCAAGGCCGTTAGAGCGTATAAATAATCGCATTCAGCTTCGAGAACCGTTAAGCCAGTAGGGTCCATCTGATTGGCGCGACCGCTTTCTTAGGCTGTATGTAAATCCTGCCACTGGACGCACAGCTGTATTCTGAAGTCGTCTACAGTGAGTAATGAACGAAGGACCACGATTTCAAGAAGCTTAAAGAATTAGGTAGCTGCAAAAATACATTGAGATTTAGAAATATTTTATTATATACAATATTAAAAACTATAATAGAAAAAAAAAAACAACTAAAACTAGTAATTTAATTATCAAACAGTTCTACTCCTCGCGGTATATATATATATATATATATATATATATATATATATATATATATATATATATACGCTTAGCCTTTGAGCGAGAAAAGAACCAGCCGGCAATGATCAGCCGCAGATGGAGCTCCTTTAGGAACCTTACCGCGCATGGACACTCAGTTCAGCTGCCACTGATGCCGCCCCGGCTCTAAACGCCAAAGTGTTTTCGCAAGTAGCATCCCACACTAGGACTTTACTTCTCTCCCAAGGAACCAATGTGATACTGTCGGGTCTTCTGCCATCGTCTCCATAAATATTCCACAAGGCTCTAAAACAGAGGGAACATTTATAGAGGCAAGAGCCTTTCGGCTAACATAGTTCAAAGAACCGTGCCGTGAAAACCTTTTTTTATAGTATAGGGTGACAAACGAGCAATAAAGAATCAAAATGCAGATGCGTCGTCACCCGTTAGGGCTAAGATGCAATGCCTCTTTACCAGTAAAATGGGTCCTACCAGCACTTTTCTTACATGAAAGTCCGTGGAGCCCAAACTTGTCGACGCTGCCATCACACCGGCATCTATGGGGTTGACAAGCAAGCTTTACCTATCAAGTAATGTGCTGAGGTTACTTGATGGTAGATTTAGAAATATTTGACTTATCTTTTGTTCTCTTTGAGCCTACAACAACGTCTACTTGATCGGTTTCGATCACAACTGTATCTCCTGTTAATACATTTAGAAGATCTTGCCTGCGTAGGATATAATAGTGATCAATTTATTTTCTATTATATTTTCTTCAAAACCTCCATTACTTCAAAGAAAACGATGACTATTCGCAAGTCGATACGATGTGAGTTTATACGCAGTGTAGACAATGTATCTAGTGTCGAAAGCGTATAATTTGTTTTGATCAAAATACCGTCTTTAACTGTGTTGGAACCTAGAACTACAACTTGGGTGGCAGAAACGGTGAATACAGTGCATTCAACGTTTCATGGTTGCTCAATAAATATAATCCTTGGTGCGTCTGTTAGTGATAGTGTAACGTTTAAACGACTTGACCGATTTAACCGATTTAACGCAATATAGTTTTGCCGAGATAATAGTTTCTAGCTATGCTAGAATCCGGTATGTGTAGTCAAGTAATTAAAAACGTATATTTATGAACCAAAATGACTCAGATTCACAATATGTTTTCGTGTAGTTCAAAAAAAATTTAAACTGGTTCGTGGCGCGGTGGTGGAGTTATAAATAAATTTTATATTAACACTGAAAAAGGCCAGTTCAAATTGATGATATTGATAAGCTCCGAATTTTTAATCGACTTTTTTGAGCACGCCATTGATTATAATTCAGTTACCGATACGTCTGTTGTCGTTTTACAGTCTGTATTTTTTTTATATATGGAATAAGGGTTACAAACGAGCACACAGTCCACCTGATAATAATTGGATGGCCCTTAGACATCTACATTAACCTTCATTACAATTTAAAATGTAGATTTTAAACCTTGTCGACTAAGATGGAATGCCTCGTATCCGACACTCACCATACGAAACACAGCAGCATTGATCTGCTTACACTGGTATTCCGGGAGAACGTGGTCTTTCCTCGGCCGAGCCTACCCATTAGTGCTACAACTATAATATAGCTGTAGCATGGCTCTACTACGTTGACAAATATACTTCGGCATGTATAAACTATGACATGTAATATTAACTTTCAAAAAATGACAAAAAGAGGATACTTCGTTCAGACTAACCTCATTTCGATACTATAGTAGAATTAGTAGCTTTAAAAAATGAAATTTTTTAAACATTCTATTTCAGTGAAACTAATAGCCGCACCCTGATAAGGACAGAAAAATGTCTGCCGAGCCAATTGGTACATATGTATATAAATTATATATTAAAACGTTACTCCCAAACTAGGATTTTCATTTGTACCACGTATGCAGTTTATATTTCACAAGGAAAAACATACAGACCCGGAACAATTATTTGTAGGTTATACAAATATTTATTCCGTGCGGGATTCGAACTCGCGACCATTAGTGCGGCAACTCATTGCTGCCACTGTGCCACGGAACCGTCAATCAATTATTATTACCTCACGTATCGTCTGAGAAAGGAAAATACGGTACCAAAAATAAATAAAAATTATTTGATTTATATTTG